TAGATTGCAAAACAATTAGGTACTTCCCAAACATTGAGACACTTCATTTGTGGAATAGAGATGAAGAGAATTTTGGCAATGGATTTATGATCAACACAGAAGAAAATGAAGATTGTGAAAATGAAAATAGTGAAAATGAAGTTGTTTTAAAGAAAGAGTTTTATCGAATCATTGTGTGGTTCAATGTTGACTTTGAAACTGTTGACAGAAACAAAAATCGAAACATCGAGTTTAAAGATGTTACTTACACTAAAAACGATAGAGAGAAATTTGGTAATAAGATACCATTAAGTGTTACATCAATTGGTGAATATTGTTTCTGTGGATGCAGAAGTCTAAGCAGTATTACAATACCACCAAGTGTAACATCAATCAGTGATGAATGTTTTGGAAATTGCACCAATCTCATCAGTGTAACAATACCATCTCGTGTTAAAACACTTGGTGATGGTTGTTTTAATGGATGCGATAGTTTGAGCAGTGTTATAATACCATTAAGTGTGATATCTATTGGTAATTTTTGTTTCTGTGAATGCAGAAGTTTGAGCAGTATTACAATACCATTAAGTGTGACATTAATTGGTGATGGTTGTTGCAGAGGATGCATTAATCTGACTAGTGTTACAATACCATTAAGTGTGACATCTATTGGTGATGAATGTTTCAGTTGGTGTTTTAGTTTGAGCAGTGTTATAATACCATCAAGTGTGACATCTATTGGTGGTTATTGTTTCAGTTGGTGTTTTAATTTGAGCAGTGTTACAATACCATCAAGTGTGAGATCAATTGATGGAAAATGTTTCAATGAATGTATTAATTTGACTAATGTTACAATACCATCAAGTGTAAAATCAATAAGTTATGATTGTTTCCCATTTGATACAATAATTCATCGAAGCGAATGAGATAATTTATTTATTTCAGAATTAGTTAAATATGATAAAAAAGACAATAAATCAAAAGTTGAGAAAGTCGATTAATTTTTCGAGGAATTGATAAAGTCCAAATCGGATGCAAGCGAAAGGGTCCTAAAGCCAGCCCTCCATTCCCGCCCACCTCCTATAATGTGAAGTTTACTTTTATAGTAGTAGAGGAATTCCTTTGTAGAAACATTAATGATATAATATCACTTCATGAGTGACATTACTTGTTACATTCTTATTTTGATAATATTTTTAATAAATATGATAAACCTAACCACCTAATATTTTTTTAGTTGAATAATTATATTTAAACCATACCACATATAGTTGGAATATTCCATTCTGTGTTAAATATTTCATTAATAATAATTTTTATTTATATTACGATATAAGTGGTTTTTGTAAATAAACACTTCTACCATACTTTATGTGAAATACTTACACAATTAAAATATATATTCCTCGACATAGTGAGTGATTTTTGTAAATATTATTTTATAACCAAACTTTATTTGTGGAATTAAATTCGAATGCGGGTGTAAAGACAAGTGGGGACTTTAAAATCGGTGAAAATTCAAATTTGTATTTTCGATGAGAAAATGATGAGAATGTTGTCATTTCTAATAAACTAATTTGTGACAATGGTGTTTTAACATTATTTGGTAACTCGCGGATTTCTGTTAATAAAGAATTATCACTTAGTAATAATTGTAAAGTAAAATTTACGGCACGGACTATACGTGATATCCCTTTGTTTAAAGTAGATAAAGTCAGTAACTTTGTTGGTACAAAATTGGGGTTTGACAATCAATTTGATTTTGCTTTTGCAAATGCCAATCAAGTAATAACATGTATAACAACTTATAAATATGTCAAAATGTTACAAAACAATCGATTGGCAAGATTTGGTGATTCCACAAAGATATTTTGCCATTTGGGAATGTCGAGTTCGGGAGATGTTGAATTCATAGAACTATATTGCCCATGTAGTGGTGCTGACTGCTATATAACTCCACTAAGTTCTTTC